AATCAATCAATCAATCAATCAATCAATCAATCAATCAATCAATCAATCAATCAACTAAGAAGGAAAGGGAATCCTTAGCGGATGTCGAGCACCCTACCGTCTCAACCAGAAAACAAGGCACGGATGTGTTTTTTTTTTGGGGGGGGGGGGAAATATTCAGTATTTCATTACAGCGAAAACCTGGGACGAGGCTGGGGACCTCACAATCCAACCCGGAGTTACCCTGGCAGTATCAGCCAGTTTTGCTTACAATGCAGACTTGCTGACCTACCTCTATTCCCAGAACTGTTATAGGCCTATAATCACTTTCGTCTGTGGCAGTCGAGTTCACACACAGACACACGCACACAAGGACACAGTTAGACGGACATAGTTAGACACACACAAACAGACACAACCACAAACACAACCAAACACACACAGGCACAGGCGCACACAACCAGACACAAGAACACACAGATACACATACAGACACACACGCACACACACACACACGCAAACACAGGTACACTCACACACAGACACACACACACGCACAGACAGCCACACACACAAACACAGACACACAGACACACACACACGCACAGACAACCACACACACAAACACAGACATACACACATACACACACACGCACAGACAGTCTCACACACAAACACAGACACACAGACACACATAAAGACAGAGGCCTGATAGAGGTCCCAAAAGCCGCACACAGACACAGGCACAAACATACACTCACAGGCACGCACACAAGAACACAGGCATATAGACATACGCAGGCGTTCAGACAGAGACACACACACACACAAACAGAGACACACACAGACACACACACAGACACACACACAGACACACACACAAAAACACAGGCTTGAAGTGCTGATAAGTTTTCCCAAGAAAATCACAGGCCTTCAATCACTGGTAGACACATACACAAAACACAGGCACACAGACACACACACACAAGGACACAGTTAGACACACACAGATACACGCACACCGACACACACAACGACAAAGACACGCACAATCCGTGTCTGTGTTCGTATGTCTTTTTGTGCACAGCACACGAACACAGACACAGCCYGTGTCTGTGTGSGTCTGTCTTTTTGTGTCTGTTTCCGTGCCTKTGTCTGTCTRTGCACAGTGRCTCAGACTAACGCAAGGACATTCGCAGAACTGTTGTAGGCCTTTAACCACTTTCGTCTGTGGCAGTCGAGTTCACACACAGACAGACGCACACAAGGACATAACTAGGTACACATAGACAGACACGCACACACACACACAAAGGCACAAACATACACTCACAAGGCACGCCCACAAGAACACAGGCACACAGACATTCAGACATAGACACACACACACACAAACAGAGACACACACAGACACACACACAAAAACACAGGCTTGAAGTGCTGGAAAGTTTCCCCAAGAAAATCAAAGGCCTAAAATCACTGTTAGACACGCACAAAAGAACACAGGCACAGAGACACACACACGAACACAAGAACAGGCTTGTATTGTCAAAAAGTTTCCCCAGAACCAACACAGACATTAAATCACTCTCGCCTAAAGACACAGGCTTGTATTGTCAACCAGTTACCCCAGACGCACACAGACTCACACAGACATAAAGACATAAAGACGCATAAAGACGCACACAACCAGACACACAAGAACACACAGACACACACACACACACACACACACACACACGCAAACACACGCCTGCCACACACAGAGACACACAGACACACATGCACACACGCAAAGACAGCCATACACACAAACAGAGACACACAAACACACATGAAAACAAAGGCCCGGAAGTGGTCCCAAACGTGCTTATGGCCGACAAGCACCTTTGAGTTGCCTGCCACACACACAGAGGCACACACACAGACACAAACAAAGACGCACACACAGGCACAGACGCACACACAGACATAGACACACACGAAGAGCAACACACACAGACACACACGGGCACAGGGAGACACACACAGACACACACAGACACACACGGGCACAAAGACACACGGGCAAAACAAGCAGGGGTGATAGGGCCCTGTAACGAGTCTTACCAAGGTTAACATTTGTTTTGGATGGCTCTTTGCGTGCAGTCCATTCGTGACGATGAAGACATCCCGAGGCGCGAGGGGTGCAAGCAAGGGGAGGAGTGCAAGAAGAACCGGCACAGTSTCTTCTCGGGGGCAGCCGGCGTGCTCYGAAGGGGTTGTGCAGCAAAGGCGGYCACCGGAGCARGATGATTTTCCCCAAATGGGAGAAGGAGATGAGGATGAATATGTTTTAGAAGACGGAGAGTTCGTGGCAGGAGAAGGCGAAGGAGAGGAAGAGGAAGGAGAGGGAGAGGAAGGAGAGGGAGAGGAAGGAGAGGGAGAGGAAGAGGAAGGAGAAGAAGAAGAAGAAGAAGAAGAAGAAGAAGAAGCGGAAGGAGAAGAAGACGAAGAAGAAAAAGAAGAAGAAGAGGAAGAGGACAAGGAAGAAGATCCAATGGAGGAGGACAGCAGTTGGCAGAGAGAGTTCCTCGAGTCGAGGCCCGTTCGCAGTGACTTCAAGTACTTCTTTTGGGCTGTGTACGTCACAGCTGGATTAGCTTATCTTGACGTCAAGACCAGCGGCAACGGTGTCTATGCACGAATCGGCGAAATTTTATTTGCAGCGCACGTGACTGAAAAATGTCTCATCGCAGAGTTGTGGGTCGTTATCAAGGGCAAGCTCACTAAATGTTTGTTGAAGGGGGATACATTAATGCCCATGAAGATGCCCATCCAAAACAAGAAGTTGTTGGCATTAAACAAGACTGGTTGCATGGTAAATGCTCTCATCTCCCCTAATTCTCACTGCATGTCTCTCTTCGCAGGAAGTTGCAGAGCTGCAAGTTTCATTCCGTTTCTTTGAAGGTGTAACCGGAAGGAATAAGCCTAAGACTTTCACGGCTTATCCGAGAGTTAAAGGCCTACAACTACCGGATACGCCGTGGAAGTTATAGGCCTATAACTACCGGTAACGCCGTGGAAGTTATAGGCCTATAACTACCGGATACGCCGTGAAAGTTACAAGCATGAACCTCCATAGCCTTTTCGAAAGTTATAGGCCTATGACCTCTATGTTGTTTCCGACAGTTGTAGGCATGTAACTTCCACTACGTCTTCCTTGTTCCTGGGAAGTTATAGGCCTATAACATTGAGTGCGTCCTCCTCGTTTCCAGAAGTTTGACTCTTTGAGGTTGCAGGCCTGTAATGTTTTTTCACATTTGCGTTGTTCTATTGCACTTGTCGTACGCAGTGTTGCTCTAAGTATGTGTTATAGGCCTATAAGTTTCTCTGACACACTTGGTCGACCATTGTTTTTTCTTCTACTTCCAATGTGTTGCGCAGCCGTTCGTGGAAGGACTTTCTTAGTTCTTACGGGAAAATTTGGACAAGAAACTTCTTCCTTTAAAGTGTGCAGAGGAAGCAGAAAAATCACAAACTCCGACAACGACGACGACGACGGCCACGAAGGGTGGCTCCAAAGCGAGGTCGCAGCGTCCCAAAGATGTGATTTCTCCTCAAACCATTGTCGGGTCTTCCGGTAGTCTGGAAAGAGGATCGAGCACAAAGACAATTCCCGGGAAGATTCGCGGGAAGAAAACAGTCACACCGGATCCGCCTCGTCCGGAAGGGCAAAGGGAGGGGAAGGGAAGGGAAGAGGAACTCCAAGTACCCCAAGGTTTTATGCCGAACGAGCGCACAGAAGATTTGACAAAAACTTGGGAGGAGTTGAAGAGTTTGAAGGAGAAGAAACTTTCACACGAGTCCTTTTACCTGCCGATGAGATGTTTGAAGAGGCCACCCCTGGTGAATGGGAAAAGACCAATGGAGGTGAGAGAGTCGGACGAGGACCATGTGAAGTCCATCATGGACTCCATGTTGAAGCAGCCAACTGAAGATCATCTTCCCTTCGTTGGCCTCGTCGACCCTGCCCAGGCCGGGCGCAAAGAAGACGTGAGCTTGAAGAAACTGAGAGCCGACAACTACGACATTTGTGTGCTTGGTGGTGACCACAATCGGGAAGCGAGGGAGCGGTTAGCACGCATGAACCCCGACAACGAGGAGTACCAGTACAATGTGTGCTATGTTTACGTTGGCCTCACGATCGATGAGGCGAGGCAGGTTGCCCACAGGCATAACCTTGCGGCGGGTTACCACAGGGACTTGAGCTTCATCGAGAAGCTCAGGTGCTGGCGCCAAGTCTTTGAGAGCAGGGGGTGTGTCAAGTCGCAAGAAGTGAAGCTCGCTTGCCTGAAAGAAGTAGGGATTCCGAACGCGGCGAAGAAATTGAACGCCCAAGACCCGTTGCTGCAGTGTGCTTTCAAACCCCAAGAGATTTGGGAGCTCATGTGTAAGATCATGAGCATGTGGCAGAAGGGCGAGGTCAAAGGCCAAAAACTGAAGCCGGCGAGGAGCTTCTTGAAAGCGGACCAGGATCTGGAAACAAGCGAGTACGAGGGCGTGAAGAAAAGCCAGCGTGGGAAGAGGCTTGATAGGGCGGCTGCGAAGGAGCAAGAAATGACGCTTCTTTATCCACGGGTGCAACTGCAGGGTAACAAGGTCCCCATGGTCGTCGAGGACATGCCAGCGCAACACTGGATAGCCATGGGTAGTATGGCTCCAGAGAACGCCGTCCCTATCCTCCTTGAGGTCATTGCGAAGCAGATCTCGCTTAAGGCAGGCGGTGAAGAGGTGTCGAGTCTGCATGGTGGGGTAGCGATTGGCCTCAAGGCCAATACTCGCTCACGGACTGCGAAGTGACTGAGGCCACACCGTATCCTTTGGATATAGGCCTATATGTCATGTGGGGACACGCACTTTCGATATAGGCCTTCGCTGCATGTGTGGCCTCAAACCACACATGCAATTTAGGCCTACATTGCATGTGTGGACACGCGCTTTACATATAGGCCTATATTGCATGTGTGGCCTCACGTCGCTTTCGTGTTCTGCCGACTCTCCCGTCTCGGTCGCTTCTTTTCTTTCCGCTTGTTCTTTTCACCATGAGTAGCCTCAAACCGAGGATCGCCCGCGACAATGACAAAAGGTCCAGGAGCTGCCCTTTTTTTGCGACGAATAATGATTTGCTTGGTACATTCCGGTAAAAGAGTCGAAGCAGGATCGACAACGATCCATGTAGCAAGGATTGCGCCTCTCGCAATTGGTGCGAGAGGAGAAACCAAGCTTTATTCGTTCACGAGTCTCCTGTGTGGATTCCTGTGGTTTGTGGTCTTGGAGTTGCTATTCGTTGATGTCGAATAACGATTTTCTTGGTGCGTTCCGGTCAAAGAGCCGAAGCAGGATCGACAACGGTCCATGTAGCAAGGATTGCTCCTCTCACAATTGGTGCGAGATGAGAAACCAAGCCGTATTCGTACACGAGACTCCCCTGGTGTGTGCTGCTTTGTCCGCATCCCTCTCGGGATTGATCGCCGCCCCTGCGTTGTCGGAATGTCTGCTGCTTTGCCTGGATGCCTCTCCCAGGATTGGTCGTCGTCCCTTCGTGGTTGGAGCTTTGTGGTTTGGCACATGGCTTCGTTTTTCACAGAATTGTTAATGTGCAGAGTAGGCTAACTTTTTATTTTTTAGGTCGTGGAAGTGGGAACCATGTGTTCTGCTGTGTATTGTAGCCATTTAGAGGAACGAGGGCACATGGCTCCGTTTTTTTGCAGAATTGTTATTGCGTAGAGTAGGCTAGCTCTTTCCCTTTTAGGTCGTGGAAGTGGGAACCAGGCGCACTCGGTTCGTGGGTCAGACCGCAATAGGTCGACAATTTTGAGAGTGTCATCATTACTGGGAACCATGTGTTCCGTTGTACTGGGAACCATGCGTTCCGTTGACAATTTTGAGAGTGTCATCATTACTGTGAACGAGGCCTGGGGAGGTCCGCCCAGGGGCACTCGCCACAGGTGTGGCAGTTTTCGGTACATCTCTGGTTTACTTCTTTTGTCGGATTTGGTTTAATTCTTCTGTTGGACTTTTCTCTTTTTCTAAAGGATAATTTTGAAAACCCTCTATTTTTTATTCTAAAGGTTGTTTCTCATAACCCTCTCGTTTTCGTTTGTGAGTTCTTGTTCACTTACCTTTGGGTGGACGACCACTCTTTTTTTTTTTTTTTTTTTTTTTTCTCTCTCTCTCTCTCTCTCTCTCTCTCTCTCTCTCTCTCTCTCTCTCTCATGAAGGGTGTCTCAGGCTAACAAAACAGTGTTATAGGCCTATAATCACTTTCGTCTGTGCCAGTCGAGTTAACAAACAAACACACGCACACAAGGGCACAGTTAGACACACACAGACACACAGACACACGGACACAGACACACACAACGACACACACACACACAGACACGCACACCGACACGGACACAAACACATACACACACAGACACATTCAACAACACACGCACACAGACACATACGGACGCACTGACACAGTCCGTGTCCGTGTTTGTATGTTTTTTGTGTACCACACACGAACACAGACTCAGCCAGTGTTCGTGTTTTCATGAGCATGTGTTTCTGTGTGTTTGTGTCTATTTCCGTGTGTGTCTCTTTGAGTGTGTACACTGACACAGACTAACACAAGCACACACACACAAACTAACATTCCCCATACCTGTTATAGGCCTATAATGACTTTCGTATGTGCCAGTCGAGTTTACAAACAGACACACGCACAGAAGGACACAGTTAGACACGCACAGACAGACACAACCACACACACATAACCAAACACACAGGCACAGACGCACACAACCACACACAGGTACACACACACACGAACGCACACAGATACACACACACACAGATACACACACACACAGATACACACACACACACACACACACGCACACAGAAACACACACACACACACGCACAGATACACACAGACACAGACACACACACACACACGCACACACAGGTGCACAGACACACAGACAGACACACACAACCGCGCACACACAGACGGCCACACACACAAACACAGACACACAGACAAACACATAAAGACAGAGGCCTGAAAGTGGTCCCAAAAGTGTTTAAGGCCTGCATGCACCTTTGCCCCGTTGCTTATTTCCCTTACATTTATTATTATTATCATTGTTATTATATGATTATAATTATTATTATTATTATTATTATTATTATTGGCCTTATTACTTGCGAAATAAACTTACCTCCGTCCCTGTTTTTTGTACGAACAAACGTGTGGCATGGTGATAGTAGGATAGGTAGGACCTATCCACTTCGGATCTGGGCACCGATCACAGGTAGGATACGRGCATTGATTCTGCATAGGTAGTGATGRGACTATGCTAAGCATTGTCRATTAGAAGCTCATAGTGTCTTCTYAATTGCTGAAAACTCGTGTTGCRATCCTGCTTTTGGTTGAAGAGCAAGACTACTTGGTTTCATATGTATGATGCTGCTTGACTCTGGGATTCGCTATTGATCATTTTTTTTCTTGCAACAGTCAGACAAACAGAACGAAGTTAAACGGACAGACATCAACAAACAAACAGACATCGATGGCCGGATCGGACGAACAGGCAGTCAAACAGATTGGACAGTCAAACACAGACTGCGACACAGGGCACAGGCACGTAGTGCGTGGTGACACTCGGTGCACGGTGAAAACACACAGACGAATATTGTGACCCACACAGATGTCCGGTGACACAGTCACAATGTGACATGCACGGGGACACACAGTCACGGTGTGACACGCACACGGACACTGCGATACACACACACTGATTCACGGTGACCCGTACACAGTGACACAGTGCACAGTGACGTACACACCTCCACAGCGGCACAGTGCACAGACACATAGTGTGCGGTGACATTCAGCGCACAGTGAAAACACTTAGTAAAAACGCAGAGCACTGTCACTTACACAGTCACACACTGCGTCCTCCGGGGCCACTGCAGACCTCGTTGCACAAGTCGCTGTGATAGCGCTTCCGGGTGGCTCACACGGGAATGAATGAATGGCTGGGCGTTGCCTCTTGATTATACTTCTACAGGTCGTGGGCCTGGCCCATTTTCCGGTGCACAGACAGACACGCACAGACAGACACAACCACACACACACAACCAAACACACAGGCACAGACGCACACAACCACACACAGGTACACACACACACGCACGCACACAGATACACACACACACAGATACACACACACACACATGCACACAGAAACACACACACACACACACACACACAAATACACACAGACACAGACACACACACGCACACGCACACACAGGTGCACAGACACAGAGACAGACACACACAACCGCGCACACACAGACGGCCACACACACAAACACAGACACACAGACAAACACATAAAGACAAAGGCCTGAAAGTGGTCCCAAAAGTGTTTAAGGCCTGCATGCACCTTTGCCTTGCCTGCCACACACAGACACATTCAACGACACACGCACACAGACACATACGG